GAGAGAGCGAACAGAGAGATGAGAGAGAGATGAGAGAGAGAGAGAGAGACAGTGAGAGTGTGAGAGTGAGAGTGATGAGGGGGGGGGCTTCGACCTGAGAAAGAAACCTTGCTATCGCAAGCCAAGGACGATTTACAAATACATCTCGAAGCCAGATAGGCTTTGGTAGCAGGGCTTCAACGTCAGCACTGACTTTGGAGACTGAATGGTTTCAGAAGACATTTTCAACCACTTCGTGTGCACCTCAACCCGGACCAACGGTCGTCTTAGGTGCGATCTGCTGTCCGTCGTCTTCCACTTCAAGGACCTCACGTTGGAGGTCATACGGCTCCTCCTTTATATGTGGCTCTTAGCCCGGAGAGGAGAGAGAGAGCGAGAGAGCGAACAGAGAGATGAGAGAGAGAGAGAGGCAGTGAGAGTGTGAGAGTGAGAGTGATGAGGGGGGGGGGGGTTCGACCTGAAAAATCAGGGGTTAGGATTTGCACCCGGTCGAAAGAAACCTTGCTATCGCAAGAGTAACTCCAGCTAGCTTCGCTAGCTTTCGTGACATACCTGTTGCTTCCATCAAATCATTCTTGGAAACATCGGCACTTGGCTTTCAGCAAATGTTCTGAGGGCGATTCTACCGTGTTGCCAGCGGCTTTCCAAGAAGAGCCCACGCGGTTTGCATTTGGAACGGGGGTGCTGGATGGGTTGCTTTTGGGGGTTGTGGGGTTCGCATTGTTTCCACGATGAGGCGGAAAAAGTTTGCAAACCCAAGCAAAAGCAGAAAGCAATTCACACACCGCGATGTCCATGACGGGGAACACCAACATGCCCCAGCCAAACTCTCTCTCTATGTTTATATATATATACTGTATAGACATGCAAATCATATCAAATCATATATATATATATGTGTAATCCATCGCCGCTGGTCCGCACACTCTTTGGCATGCTTGTGCTCTGTCCTGCTGTCCTACTGCTGGCACCACCTGAGGAGCAAAAAAGAGGTAGTAACAGAAGGACAGCTGCAGCATTTCCAGTGCAATTTGGGGTGTCCAAATCAAATCCCCTCTGCATCTCCTTCAACTCCCAAACACTTTTGTCTCCACGTGCCCAGCCGACCTCGTCCAGCAACAGGATCTGCGGCTTCCGCACCAAGGCCCGTGCGATGGCGCAGCGCTGCTTCTGCCCGCCACTCAAATGTTCGCCCTTGAGCCCCACCAGGTCCGACCACTGCCTGCCACCGACCCGGGGGAAGAAACGCGGTGCGACGAAGCGCTGCATGACTCCATGACATGCTTCACGAAACACTGCTGATGGACTGCTCATTGTCTTTGGTTGCCTCTTTGGGGAGGTAACCTACCTTTAACTGATCTTTACCAGTGATAGCATTTCAAAAACTTGGACCCTCAAGTCTCTCGACATCCCCGTTTGGAGCCGCCTCTGGCGGCGTCCGAGAACACAGAAGATGTAAATGCCAACCATGTTTCTGCGCCGTGCCTGGGGCCATCTAAGACATAATCCATCTTCGCAAGGCGTGCAGCCTCGACGACCTCTTCATGCGTCGCCTGGACGAGGGCCACCAGGGAGTCGTTGACCGGCGGTTCCGAGTGGCCGCTCCGACCGAGTTGCGATCACGGTCCCAACACCGAAAAGCCGAGCCTCTTCGTATCCATATTTGACGTTCTCCTGACAGAACCGACACGTCGACCTGCAAATACTACATCTCATACATATAGTCGTTTTTAGGGATGTACAGTGTGCACCCTCATGATCCTGCATGGTTAGACAAACAAAGAACATTTAAACCACAAACCACTTTTGGCTGATTGTTTTTTCAGATTCTCAGCTCATTTCAACTCCTCCAGGGTCATATCGAAGAGGATCGGCTGCTGGCTCACCAAACCCAGTTGCTGGCGCCACCAGCGCACGTTCAGCTGCTTTAGGTCCCTTCCTCCAACCAGGATGAGCCCCTCCTGCGGATCGTAGAACCTCAGGAGGTGGAGAATCGAGAATTGGTCGAAACGGTGAAGATCGGTCCGGATCCAGATCTCCCTCCCAGTGTCCCAAGTGTCACGCCGGAAGGTTGGGCAACTGGCTCAAGTTCCTTTGAAGTGAACATGTGCGGCATCACACCGCATTGAAGCGCCGTCCGCCACACCGCACCGCCCCGGGTCCGTCGCCTCAGGAGGAGCTGAATCACCGTGGACTTGCCACTTCCAGAGTAGCCCACCAAGGCGACTTTCTGCCCTCTGCGAATCGTCAGTGAGATGCGCTGGAGGACTTTGGTCTCGGGCCGATGCGGATAGTAGAAGACCACCTGGCAAAACAAAAACACACCAAGAAGGTAGATGCAGTGAAGTTGAGGATGCATCCACGATGCATCGACTTCTTCAAAGTTACCATTTGAAGCACTTTCACCATGAAAAGGGCGGTCAAAGCAAGTCAAGTTGGTATGTTTCACCACACTAGGGGTGTTGGCCAACCTCGTGTATAGGTGGCCAAAATACTGGGCAATTCGCGCGCTTGAGGGGCGTTTGGTCAAGGACATTACTGTAAAGAGAAAGTCACCAAACCCTCCGACTCTTGCATCCATGAGTCTTACATGTCCTTGCGTTTCCCTTTAGAACGACTTGTATAAGTTTGATATACGACATTACCACGAAATCTTTGTGTTCTACACTGCACTTGATGTCCATGTTCGAACCGGGGTTCCTCAACCCAACCCTCCCCAATTCATGGAGAACGTGGCACCTCCTTGAGAGAAATGCTGCCATCCCCCAGGCTGCAGACGACACCCTCCGGCTGTACTGCATCGATCTTACTGCTCTGGTCGATCAAACGGAAGACCTCCCGGGCTGCCACCGCCCCACTGGCACTGTCAGGCAGATACATCGCCAGGATGCTGACATACATCACGCCAAAAACCACCTGGCAGAGGATCTGAGGTCGCCCGTTGATCTGAGGTCGCCCGTTGAATGGTTTTACAGCATCTTAATCAACAGTTTGGGTGGGTGACATCTAGTGGTCTGATTTGTGTGGCAGACACACCTGTCCGTCAATCAGATCTTTCATGGACACATGATCTGTCCAGGCATCGGTCCAGCTATCCATCAAGAAACCCTAGTCTGATCTATGTAGACGGCTATCCATCAACAAACCGGTCTGCACTTTCATCTATGGATATTCTTTGTGCTTACATGGGGAAGCTCCAAAAAGGCTCATGCACTCCTCGCTCCTCTCTCGCCCCTTTGTCTGGAAGTTGTCTGCCGGTGGACTTGTGATGGACTACCCTATCTCATCACAAGCCCCTCACCCACCAAAAGGCCTGTGTTCCCAAAGCTTGTTGGGGGTCTTTGTTCCATGTGCCTCTAGAGCATCCACTAGCGTAGCATGCAAGCACACAACTCGAGTGCAAGCATAAGTCTGCCTTCTCTGTGACACCTTGACTATACATCCGGGAAATCAGTGACAATCCCATCAGCCCTTGATTGTCCTAGGCAGGCCACAACTATCTGCTAGACTGCCAGACCACCCCGCTATGGTGATGGGATCAGCTTACAAAGAAACATGGGAATGCAGAATGCCCCCTCGGTGATTCAAAGCCGCTTGGAAGAAAACCTGGCACCAAAAGAAAGAAGTAGACAACCTGGCGTGTGCAGGATCAGAACCCAGAGGCTGTCCTGGACAAAGTGAGCATGCTTAATGTGCCTTTGACAAAGCATCACCCAAGGTTGCACAAACCCTTGGGCCAACACTTTGGAACATCATTCACGGATGATACGACTCCGTTTTTTGGCGAAATGTCTTCTCATGATTGCTGCAAGGGCCGGCACCCTTCCTATCCACGCGGGCATCCGAGCTGCGCAAAAGAGCGTCAGCAGCACGGCCGAGGGATCAAACAATTCGCTGTTGATCATGGCCGCGGCCAGGAAGAAGCCGATCAAATAAATGACTGCCACCATGCCTAGGGGAGTTCTCGGACATGGATCGCACTTGGATGGTGGTGCTGAGCTCATGGAGCAATAGTGGTCAGGTGACGGGGTCAAATAGTGCCGGTGGCCACCATGCCTAGGCACCCATGATGGGAAGAATTGGGAAAGTGAGTGAAAATTCATCTGGGTGGGTGGGCACCTCAACCACAACCACTCGATGCAGGAGAGCGGGAGCAAATGAGCCCCCAATCTTTGAGACAACCCCTTCGGCACATTTTGGCACCAGACCTGAATGAAAGTCATCCTGGTGTTGCAAGGATTCAGCCCACCGGAAAGAGCAGCAAGTGGAAACATTGCCAAGCAAGAGTTAACAGTTAACAAATGCATATATGCATCCAGAAATGAAAAAAAATATTCTCTATTGCTATAAAACACTTATAACAGGGTTATATAACCCTACCCATTTCCTAGTTGAAATTCCAATGGGGATACAAATGGATTTACATCTTGTTGGGTTTGCTCGCTGTGGGCTGCGCGCCGAGCGACTCGTGGTGAAGCCAAAGGCGAAGGCCTTCCGAGATGCGCTGCCACGGTGGTAGTTCGCCACCACCTGGCTGGCCACGGCTTCGGTCACAGGCCGGAGAGGCTAAACCCGTTCGTTTAAACTTCTTGCCAGCTATATGGTCAGCATGAAAGTCAAAAACTGCCCCCCCCCTTTCATCAATCTTCTTTGTCGGAAAGTGTCTTTCTTGAAGGAGGCTGCCATTCCCAGGCACCTGCAAATGCGTGGTCAAGACCTGCAAGGTGTGCTCCTGGCAACTTGCCGCAGCCAAACAAGCCTCTCCAAAGCAAAGTATGCTGTACACATTGAAATTAGCTGTCCATTCTTGCATCCTCGGCCAGTTCGATGCAAACTTCTCCTTCACAGCACACCACCCTCTCCCCATCATCAATTCCGAAAAACCACTCGTCTAACACCCCCTTCTGCACCCATCCCAGATTCCCCTTCACCATCCCATCTCCAGAATGGGTGTGCGACCCCACGGGCGTCGGCTCCTCCGCCCTCAGCGCCCGCACCGTGCGGATGCTCGTCACCGCCTCGGTGGTCGTCTGCGAGGCCTCCGCGTAGGCGCGCTCCGCCGAGGGCCACGGCCGCGCAGCGGAGGTGGACAGAGAGGTCGCCAAGCCGAAGCCTTCAAAAAGAAGCCAGGCTCGAGAGGGACGAAATTACACCAGCATAGACCCCCAGATAGCAAAAGCATGCTAAAGATTATCCGAGACGTGTCATGAGATTTGGTCCTATCCATTTCGGGATGCCTGTTTTTGTTACAGAGTGTCTATTTTGCCTTCAATGCCCTGTTCCACGCAGTACGCAGAAAGTGGACTGTGTGGAACAGGAGCGCCGGAGCGTCGGGGGATTTGGAAGATGTGGCACAAGTCTGAAGGACACCAGGGACAAGGGAGGGCTTACGGCATGAACTTCGTTGATCAACCACTTGTGATTCTTCCTTGTGAGTCCATGCTGTTTCCACTGGGCTGCAGAGCTGCCTATTTCAACCTGGCGGTTGAACAATGTTGAACAGCTGATGAAGGTGAGGACTACACTCCCAACCCATGTCAGGACTAGTGACTAGCTACCGAGCGGAACAGGAAGCCCAACCGGGAGACGACCGAAGAAACTTGAGTGCAGGAATCCATAAAACCTCACCAAAGCATCCAAGGAAATGGGAATACTGTAGCGGAACTTGTAGCGGACATGAGCCTTGAGCATTCCAAAACGAATCAATCGAACTGCAAAGGGAGGTGGCATGTGAGAGGAAACCACTACGTTTGGTGATATTTGTGGGAGTTCATCTTGACCTTGGGCAGTCTGTGTGATAGATTACCATCTCACATTGCATGCTAGGCCACCTTGCCAGTTCAGTCTTCAGAGCACCACCCTCCTCAATCCACCACCTCGTCTCAAAATAGACCAGGGGGCCGATAGGCAGGATGCACAAGAGCACCAAGGCCAAAACCCAGGAGCCACAGAAACCCATGGACAGACAGGCCACACAGGTCAGCACCTCGAGCTGGAGCTGGGGGGCCCCCAGTTCATCGACGGAAGGTGATGTTCGACCAAAGAAAGGAAGGAAGGTTTGCAGGGGACAACTTCCAAAGTCATGGATGTTTTTCTCGCATGTGTTCAGCTGTCTTCGTCCTTGTCGTGCAAAAGACCTTGACGAAGAGATTGGCAGTTTCCGTTGCAGCCCTCTGTCATGGAGCAGAGGATGCGAAGTCTTGAGACATCCTATTGCACAAACCTGGCCACCAAACCCCAACACACACCACCCCAGTCCGGCGCCAGCGTCCACCGCGCACACCGGGTGCTCCGAAGCCGCTCCGCCGATGGTGTTGGCCAAGTTGACTCCGAAGATCTGTGACAGGCGAGTCATGTGCCGTTCGATGGACACCAAGAGGCTGGCGGTCTGGTTCCTCGGTCTGGGAGGCCGACCAGGCCGGCCGGAGCCACTAAAAGACTGGTTCAAGCCCTGATGAAAAGGGATGATGTGGAGACTGTGTGGGTGCTTCAAGATTCCATGGAGACTTCATGGCAAGCGCTAGTCACTGGCTGTGACTAGTCCGGCGCTTGCTCTAAGAAAGTCACATTCTTTCTCCCACTGGTCCGTTGCTTTCCATCATGCCGAGCCACTCCGGCTTGTCGAAGAAACTCATGTCCATCCGCAGGGTGCTACCGAAGGCATCCCTCCGTAATCTCTTGCTGATACCCTCCTGGCAACAAGGAAACGCAGGTCGCACAGGTCGCAAGAGGTCTGCCTCTTCGCCCCTCCTCAACATAGACCTGGATATACTCATCGAATGGCACCAGTTGCGGGTGCGCTGTAGGTCAAATTATATATATATATATAGAACATAGCGAATGTTGAGTTGTCTCCATGGACGTGTCACTCCGTGTTGTGATCGTACCACCGCATCACACTTGGCCAAAAACACGGCCCAGTATATATCAGTAATGTAAACTCTTGATTAATAGACCATCCATAGGAAAAGAGTCTAGATTTATGTAAAGCCGCCTCCACTGGTGGCCTCCAACCTACCCCTCAAGTCCAAGACCTGTCCAAAGCTCCTCTGTCACTAAACTCGAATGGAGGAAACGCAAACAATGAGCAGAACCCCTGGCCCCGGCCCAGGCAGATCGCCTGCATGTAAGTGAACAAGCTATTCTGCAGAAAGACGCCCACACCAAACACCAGTCCCACCAACAGCAGCCCAATGCATGCAGCGTCAAGCTGTTTCAGCATCTCTTCCAACGATTCGGAGTAGAAGCTCAAGATGGCGCGGTTGAAGAAATAGGCCTGAACTGTCTGACAGTTCTCGATCAAGGCCCTCCACTTAGTGACTTAGTGCCCCGTCCCACGGCAGTCTCTTCGCATCCTGGAAGTGACGAACCCCAGGCACTGAGCTACGCCCGGATGCTGGCTCCCCGCCTGGGCTGGCGCGCTGCATGCAGCCAAAAGCACCGCCAGGAGCGCGAGTGGGATCACCTGGGTGGGTTTTGATTGAGATCACAAAATTGACATCTATATAATCCCTCCTATTGCGGAGAAGAACTTCAGGTTTTTCTCGGCTGCGGATTGGGGTGGGGAGACAAGCCAAATACTTTGTAACCAAGTTGTGACCCACCCGAGTTGTCGACATCCTCAAGGGTCGTATGAAAACGAAATTTGGGAGGCGTGGAGTCACGCTCCGCATTTGCAAAGCGGACCTTGGTGGAGCTGCCGGTGCCCGTGATCAGCACTTGAGAGCACTTGCATTTGGCAAGGAACGGCCGGGCCAAGGAGAAGCGCGACTACTAAGCCACCCGCTGAGAAAAAAGAACAGAAACTAAAATATCTAAAAATCGTTACGATCACCCTGCCGCATTGAGGGCAAAATATGTCGAAACAAAAGATCCAACAAGAATTTCGAGCTTCGTCACGGTCCAGTCGGGCTTGGCCGTTTGCAAGAGCCGCCAGAGTACCCCAGGCCGCGAGCTGTGCACCTCGTCTTCGTCGTCCCCTTCGGGGAGCTCGAAGAAGGAACCGTCCCCGCCGCCGCCGCACGACCAGCTTCGAGAGAGACTCCTGCAGACTGGGAAACGCAAAAGGCCCAAGGCTTAATCATAGTCCTCCTGACCGCCTGGCCCGACCCCCTCAACCGAACTCGAAGAAAATGGAGTTGCCCAAAAGGCTCTTGGCCCCCTGGGCGATTGATTTTTGCCTTGATTCAACCACCGAAAACCATTGTTTTACTAAGGATTTTGCGCTGCAAAACTAGGTCAACCAATTTTTTAAATGGGCCTGGAAGGCTAGGAAAAGAAGGTATGGTGATTCAGATTCACCATCTCGCAGAGTCCTGACATCTTTAGATGTGGCACTCGCCGAAAAGACAAGTATTTTCTCGTCAACTTCGGAACCCAGCTCAAAGAACGCGCATGACATCCCCACCCCACAAGGTCAATTTCGCACACTTGAACGGCGAATTGTTCCCCCACTGAAACATCCCCCTTTTGACCAAGAGCCATACACTGTGCAAATGGCTGGCTGACGCCTCCCAATTTCCCCTCTGGCTAGGCACTGTGCTGCTACCCATGCACGAAGGACAAGAACAGGGTAGAGGGAAACGAGACACTCTCTGCAAAATGAACGGTGAGTGGGAAAGAGGCGGAACATGTCGCTCAGCTCTTGAGGAGACCAAAGCACAGGAAGAAACTCCGAGATGCACCATGTCTAAATTTAAAAAATCATTCAGAGAATCAGGTGAGGTCCTAATCTTTCCAGGTGGCCCCCTTTGCGAAACACGGCCACAGGCTGAGGTCCCTGACATGATGCCTGAGGCAAAGTCTGGCTGGCTCGCCCGCGTCTGGTCCCGGCTCTGCCTCGTCACCTCCAACATGCCGGCGGTGCAGGTTGGGGTCACACCAAACTCAACAGCTGTGGAGACCTTTACAGACATGTTACACATCAGTATCCAGATGGCATAACCTTTACAAACACGTTACGCATCAGTATCCTGCAACATCCTGTATGCTGTATACCATCGGCTCATCTCAGGCCCCAGGTCGCTTTGGGTTCTGTGGCGTTTCGGGGCCTGCTCAACCAAACAGACACCATCAAACCCTGTGCTTCCGATGAGCCCACAATGGCACCAGCCCTTCATATGTAAAGGATTCTTTCTGTGAAGGTGCTCCGCCCCCAGCCTGCATCGGAATCGAAGCAGGAGTCGCCTGCCCAAATGAAGACAGCAAGTGGTAGTGAGCAAACCCGGTGTTCAAACACAAACAAATCCCCTCAACATACATCCACAGAATGCGCTCGGTGGCAATAGCACAATTACGTGAGTACTTCATGGCCGTTCTCCTGGGCAAAAATATTCCAACCGTGCTCCTTCAAAAGCTGAACTAACGGCCTTTGGTCGAAAGCGGAAACTTCCCTGGCTTTCTTCCAGACCTTGTCGGGGGCCTGTTGGTTCTTCCTTGCCTTACCTTGCTTCGACACACGTATCAAACTGCAGCATGGCGTTGGCGTAGCCAAGCACTTGCAGCTCTAGAACACTCTTTGTATGGCTGCCACTGTCAATGGAATTGCCTTCTACAGGAGTTTCCTCACACAAATGATGTCCATGGATTCATAGACGTGCTTTTTGGAGAAATGTGGACAATTTTGCCTGGGCCGGCCACATCTCGTCTTGCCATACCGCACCCTAAAGGCCGAATTTGGTGGGAGTGATGCCTGTCTGAATGGATCTGATTCTGGCGCACGGATAACATGTCCTAAAAGACTAGCTCTTTTGGTATGGCGAAAGTCACTTAACAGCCTGACTCGTCGATCATCACTCGGAAAAGCAAGTTGAGATGCTCTTTGTATCACGGCCCTGTTAGCATTGGCTCTATCAATGAAAGTCGGAGCCCGCCAGTGAATTTTTCTCAGGCGACGCAACTGGAAAACATCAACGTTCTTCAATAGAGCCGTGGTCAAAATGCACCGTTTCTAGTCCATACAACAATTTGGATCTTATCATGGCGTCAAACATGGTTATATAATGCGCATGTCTGACAGTCATATGATGCTTCCCAGCACGGCACCATTTTGTTCAGCACTTCATGTTTTATGTTCCCTTCACGGTTGATTTCGTTTCCTAAGCACAACGCCCCAAATCTTTTTGGGAACAGTTCGTGAACAAAGTGGACTTGACCTTCGTTGCTCACCTGTATTTCCACATATGTGTCTTTGGATAATCTGTCAACTTCAAAAGTTCATTGAGGGCCCGGTTGTCAGTTGAAAACGGTATGGTGACGGTGTCGTCAACATAGTGTACCATATCAATATCTAAACCAGGAATTTGGTTGTTCAAGAGTCTATTGCTGAGGGACGCCCTGACGTCATGATCAAAAGACTTGGGGACAGGGGGCAACCTTGCCGAATCCCAAATTTTGGTTTCATACAGCCAGAAATGCCAAATGGACCTTTTGACATAGAAGGTGGCTTTAGAATAACAACCCCAAATTTGGCCCTAATCCCGTGGTAAGGGAATAACAAGTTGACAAGCGAACAAATCAAATGGCACCACAAGAAAGCCACACCAGCCACTCCCGCCGCTGCGCCTGGCGGCTGCTGACCTCCCGGTGGAACGAGCCACGCTTGGCCTTGGCGGTCTGCCTCAGGGCACCGGTCGGCGGTTTAATCCGCCGCGGCCAGGGCAGAATTCCCGCTGCCGGTCCGCCACGCAGGAAGGGGCCCCTCTATCTTGCGAAGAAGAACCTGAAGGGTTTTGTGTCCATGGATAGCTCGATGCTCCACCAACATTTTATTTTAAGGTCCAGGCCCTCGTGCCACACCCACCACAACGCCAGCAAACTAATTGGTCGACCTCCTCGATGCCTTGTGACCGTACAAGCATCAGGAACGTCACATCTGCACACCCGCCGTGGCATCAATGGCACAACTAGAATGGAGAATCAGTTGGGGATGCCCAAGTCACCAGCAACCACATGAAATATCCTTTTCGAAGCCCGAATCTGATGCGAAGGCATCATGCCATGCCCATCGGATATCTGACTGCAAGCTGCCTTCCCAATTTTGTCTCCTCATCGTAAAACATGATCCGCACCGTTGACACTGCAGTCGGCTGCAGTGGGGGTTTCAAAATCGTATATACCCTAGATGGGCTCGATGACGGTAACCTTCTGGGGAACTGTCCACCAACGCTTGATAAAGAACTGTTCGACGCAATGCAGTGTCACAGCGACACATATGGCACATCCCTTCGTTCTGGTTTCGATTGCGCACATCCATCAGCGACAGCTGATCCTTTAACCCCCATGACAGCCCGGGATGTTGCAATGTCACTGGCAGCGGATCCCAACACGGTGTCTCAAATGCCGTAGGTCACATGTCCTACTTAATTAAGGACCCTTCAGGATACTTGCAGTGAATCTTTTAAGACTTAACTTGGGCTGATCAATCGCACGTAGATCGCCCCTAGCACTTCGGATACCTCTGTCTCCAATCGGGCGGGGCCCTTCCCCCCAGCCAGTGGGCGCCGCTCGGGGGGCCAAGTAGACGAAAGATCTTGAAGAGGGTATCGACCTGCGTGTCCCCGGGCCGGTTGGTGGCCACACGCAGGCGGCTGACCAGCAGCCGATCTCAAAGCCATAGTGCTCAGCTCCCAAAAGTAACTCGGGTGGTCTGTACCACAAGGTCACGGCGTCTGTGGTGTAGCAGTGTAGCTGCTCTTCGGCACGCAAGAGCAAGGCCGCGCAAGGCCAAAGTCTGCAATCTTGAATGAACCCTCACGGGTCAGGTGGACGTTCTGAGTCTTCAAATCCCGATGCAGGACCTTGCAGGCCCTCCAGAACGTCTGAGCTATATCGTCCAAACTCATTCACGGGCATTATCTGCCCATTCCTCTTCAAATCCTTCAACACCTCACTGACATCACGTTTGAGCAACTCGAAGGCCAGCCAGACGTCTTGAAACCCCAGCGTCGAGACGTCCTCGACCTGGACAATATTGTGATGCAAGAGCGACCGCAACAAGGAGATTTCCCTTACAGTAACGTACTTTTTCTAGGCAGAACGCGTGCGAATGCGAGCTGCGGCCATTTTGCAAATGGCTTGAAGGCAAAAGGTGCACCTACGGTCCAAAAGCATGCTTCACGAACCTGCGAAAAGCCATCCGCTCAGGGGCGGTATCATCTTGAAGTAGCCCGGCTCCAATCCTTGGGATCTGGCCAAACACTGCCATGTAGGCTGGGCGACCATGTGAGTAGGTCATTGAGTTCAAAGCGTGGACTGCTGCATCAATGGCCTGGTCAAAGTCGGCCTCATTGAAGTGGACTCAGAGTCGATGATGCGCTCCAAAATGTCACGGGGCACACTGTTTCTTCTTTCAATCAAGCCAATGCGCCAGTGAGCTTCGGCTGGGATGATGTCCAGCCAAATGCCAGGCCGCTCAACATGGCTGCGGAAGTTGAGCCCATAGTTGGTTCCAGGATCTGCACGCATAACGCTGGGAAAGGCGTAGGGCTTGAACCATAGGTTCCTCATGATCTCCAGCGTGGTGTTGGAGGACATGTCAGGTAGCCGTGCAGCTTGGTGTAGCAGTGTCGATTGGTCAATGATGCCAATGACTGCATAGTTTGCTACTGCCACGTCCCGGCAGCAGAAGCCATCTGTCTGTATGCTGTCGTTGAATTGGCCCATGTTGGCCGTTGGGACCGTTGAAGGTCTGGGACGCCGCGCTGGTTTGGTCCTGGTGCAGCTGGCGCAGACCATGTGCTTGATCGCGGTGAGCATGTGTTTCGAAATGGCTCCGTGGGGTGGCCCAGGTTGAGGTGTAGTCCTCTGTTGGCACATCGCTGGGACACGTTGGAAAGGTTACCACTGAAATGGGCGAGCTCGGTGGCGGTGATGGCTGATGATGGCTGTTCTTGGACTGGTGTGGACGCTGAGGCTGAGGCCGTTGATGGTGCTCAGCTTAATTTGATATTTGTTGGCTTCCGTGCTTCAAGGAAATTGGCCATGAGTTTTGTCGGTTCAAAGGGAGAGCTTTGTCCTCATGCCTTTTCCTGATGCAACCGGGCGGTCACTTCTGGCAAAGGCTTGTGCCCACAAGCCGCTTACACGCAAAGGTCGGTGTCTAAAAGCACCTACCTGACCCTGGTTGTTCTTTTCTGGTGGTGGTTCTGTCTTTGGCCCTCCAAAGCAATACCAAAAGACAGCATGAGCAACTGCCTTGGGGAAGTGCATTCCATCCAACGCCTCGGCTTCCACACTGAGCTGTCCGTCTTGGTACTCGATGATGGCTCCACGGAGTGTGAAGAGGATGTCTCTGGGAAGTCTTCTCTGGGCCGGTGCTCTGGCCAACTGGATTCTGACCATCTCCTGCAGGGGACGAGCTGACAGATCTCCCGGTGGAGTGGATCATTGTCTGCGAGGTTGAAGGCTTTCATAGTGTGGTGCCCTCAAAGATCGATGACATCCATCCATGCAGCTGGATCTTGCATGGGCTCCCCATAGAAGACCTCATTGGTCTTGACAAAGCGTTGGGGCCATCGTCGACGCTTCAACTCGTAGAGCTCGAAGGATAGCTCTGCACATCTTCTCAGGGTAGCGTGCACTGAGTCTGACCTCCTTGCCGAGGAGTGGCACGCAGTATTGAAGTTCTTCCTGGCTGAGCTTCCTTGAAAGGGCTGTGGCCAATTCAGCTGAATTGGTCAGCCACTGGTAGAGCTTGCGGATGGGGTCGCCGTGGCTGTTGCATCCTCCGTAGGCTCCAGCGTGGCATTGAACCACATAGACATCATGCCGAGCTGCGAGTTCTTGGAGCCGTGGCAAATCCCAGATTCTTGAAGGCGCTGGGTTCTCGAAGAGGAAGCAGTTGCCATCAGCGATCTGTTGGTAACAGGATTGAACGCCTTCCTCAACCAAGGGGTACTGGAGCTTCCTTTTGTCCTCCATGCGATCTTTTCCCTTGTAGTTGAGGTTCTCATAGAAGATGATCCAGTCTGTGCATTCGGTCTCAACCACGACCAGGAGTGGTTTATAGTCCTGCTGGGCTTTTCGCCATGACATCTTGTCCTTGCGCTTGGACATGTCCTTGCCGTAGAGCAGGTCAAAGGGCTCCATGGCGCGCAAGTCATACTGGTGAGCGAGGAAGGTGATGTCAGCGTGGCCAGCGTAGCCACTTTGGAGCGGTTGCTGTCAAGAGCTGTGGGAAGTGCTTCATAGAAGGCTTCATAGATGCCGGCCTCGATTCCAAGAACGTTGGAGGCCTTGGTGATCTGGTTGATCAGGCTTCGAGCCCTTCCCAATCGTAGTCTTCGATCTCCTCCTCCTGCAGTGGATCGTGGAAGCGCTGCTCGCAGGCCGGGTTCCAGCCTTCCGGAAGTCGTGGATCCATGGCTCCCTCCTCGAACTCCTCGAAGCGGTTCAGCCATCGTTCGAGGTCCACCTCCACTGCAAAGTACAGGGCATAGTTGGACTTGATGGGTTCCCCTCTACCGAACTCGAAAAACTCTGTGGTGGCATACTCCAGGGGGTAGATTGACCAGGTGTTGAGTTTTCCCTTTTGAGCTTCGGCCCATGAATGCCCTGCACAAAGCCGTTGGCATGCAGCATCCAAAATGATGAACCCGGCTGCTTTTGTGGCATCGGTGAGGCACACTTCAAAGTTGGTCAACTGTGAGACCAAGACAGCATGAGCAACATGTTGGGGCTCTGCTTCATCATCCTCGTGGCCACCATAGTGAAATGCACAAATTTGGCTTTGCCCTTCTCACCCTTGCCGCCGCCGGTGTTCTTGCCGCCATCTCTGTAGGTGGTGGACTTGTTCCTTCCTTTGCCGCTGGCTGAACACCCAGCATCTCCAGCCTTGGCCGCATGCGGAACAATGTGTGTTCCTCTTCCTCTCTGCGATGGACTTCTTGGGCATGGGAGTGCCACCTGAGCCATACTTGCGAGCTTGCATGACTCCAGCCAGCTTGCGAGAGCGGTGATCGTGAGGATCTCTGCAACCTCTGGGTCGTCGTCCCAGGAGCCGCCGTCATCAGCCTCTTCATCAGCCTCGTTGTCGGGCTGATCATCTTCTTCTCCATCATCATCGTTCACCTCGGTGGTGTCCGGGTCCGGTTCCTCGTGGATGGTCTCGGGCTCATTGAACTCAGTCACATAGGTCTGCCGTGGCGGCAGGTTGGACTTGCTCTTGCCTTTCCCCTTGGGGTTGCGATCACCTCCATGAAAAGGTCGGCGCCGTCCTTTTCCTGGGGGCCGGGCCACTGAAACAGCAACACATCCTTCACGGCCTCGATGTCCAGTGCCGATGAGGACTTGGCGCTGGTGTTCGTAGACAATTTGCATCTCTCCAAGACCCCGCTCCACGAGCCTCTCCGTCGTACATGTCATGGACGCGGATGCCCACGGTGATGAGTGCGCGCTCTGTGCGCTGGTACCTGTTCAGGAAGGATCTCATGCCGTGTGAAGTGTTCGTAGTTGTTCAACAGCTGTCGTTTGAGGTGGACCGAACGGGTCTCCACTGCCCGCTGGATGATGTCGAGGATGTAGGTCACGCCGTCGGCATCGTAGATCTTCTCGATGGGTGCGTCTTCCAGCTCCTCTTCCAACTCTCCAAGCTCATCGCTCCATTCGAGCTCCTCAGTCTCGCAGCGGGCGCACATCCAGTCATCGCCGTCAAGGCGGTAGTGGGCGGCCGTGGGGCTCGAGGAGGTCGAAGCGAGGTGGCGTCACCACCAGGGAAGCGCGCCAGCCAGCGGCGCCGGTCGGAGGGGCAGCGTCCAACAAAGGGCGGTCATCAGCAGCAGCCGCAACCTGTGGACGTAGCCGCGGCACCAACGGCATGGCGCGGCGTGAGAGAGCGGCAGGGAGCAGGGCCGATAGGCTCCGCTGCCAACTAGGCAGAACGGGTGCGAATGCGAGCTGTGGCCATTTTGCAAATGGCTTGAAGGCAAAAGGCGCACCTACGGTCCAAAAGCATGCTTCACGAACCTGCGACAAGCGAAAGCTCATGCAGCTTCGAGCTTCTCACTTTTTGCTATTCCCCAACATTCCTCGTCGATGTGCACCTGCTTGATCGCAAACATTTGCCGCAACCTGCATTCCACTGCTTGCCACACCGAGCCACACGCACCCTTGCCGATCTCTTCCAAGACCTCTTCCTTGCTTTAAAGGTTTACGCCCCGGGTGCCACCAGCTGTTCATCGGCAAAGGGCACCGCAGAGCCCATGTTGACCGCGGCCGTCAAGACGATCTCCTGACTCATCGCCACAAAGATTGGGTGCGAACTGCACTGCGTCGCCCCTGAAGGAGGAGAAGGGCCTGACGCGCGACGGCCCACCTCGGATCACGGAGAAGGATGTATAGTGACCTTTGAGACCAGGTCTTGCTACTGGACAAAGATCACCGGGCTTCCGGTCTTCAATGCCCCGAGTGCACAGCTCCTCCGCTGCGGAGGGAGGGAGAAGGCACTCAAAGAACATCGTCACGGCGCTTCGAGTTCTCGATAGTTCTCGCTCCGGAGGGCGTCTAGATATGTCCAAAGCACCGGCACCCACTTCACACCGCTATAAGCTATCTTTGATGTGGAACAAGCAAGATGTGCAACTAGATGCTGTGGCTGCTGTGGACTTGAGTGTCCAAGCCTTGAGAGCCAAAACCGCGACGGATGTGTTCTTTTCTCAGCATCACCTCCGATGTAACATGTCCTGTCTCACGTCTTTTTGATGGCATGGTATGGCATGGTCACAGTTTTATAGATCAGACCCGTCTTTCTTCTGAAACGCCTTTCAGACACACATCCACACCACCTCAAGCAAATTCTCACAAGAATCATGGTCACTCTGCCCCTTAACGTCTTCACCCCTCTGCATCTTCCTATCTCCTCTGCACCGATCACCCCATTTCGAAGGAAGCCGCTGTAAAGAGGCCATGCTGTAGTATTCCCCTTGCTTCGCCATCAGCCTCGTCGTCTCGTTTTCGACTTGCCACGAGGCAGACAGCCGAGGCAGTCGATCCATGGCAGTCGATCGAGATGGGAGGCCTAAACCAGTGGGCCTTGATTTCGATGCCTTCTTGAAGGGGGGACCCTCCCCGAACGAGCTCTAGATTCAGAAACTTTCGAAACATCAGGTCGAATCGAACATCCCATTGTCATAGAAACCATCCAACCCCCCGGATGGGCAGTAGGAGATTCTCCGATCAAAGTTTCAGGATCTGTTCAGCATGCAAGCTTGAAAGAAACCGTAGGTCCGTAGGTCCCCGTAGGTTCCAAAGAAAACCAGAGCTGGCACGCCCAAGCAGCTCTTGGTGAGTTCCTTGCTCACAAACATGGCCCTCCTTCAGCATGTAGATCCTGCACGAGGAGTCTACACGGCACCGAAGTCAAGTGACCAACAAGTCGCAAGTCATCTCGAGTACAGCAGCCACGCACCCCAAGCCCAAGTAGTCAAGCTTGCACCCGAAAACCTCGCTCAAACCCGCCCGACCTACCCCGCCCATTCAAATCATTTCGCCCCGGGTCATGTCGGACTTGGCGATGGTGGTGAGTCGGTGCGCAATGGAGATGGTCGTCAAGGCCCGGCCGAGCGTCTCCTCCAAGCAGTCCAGCGTCTCCTGGCGCGTTTGCACCGGCAGCGCGCCAGGCGCCCAACCCCGTGCGTCCCCCGTTCGGGGCAGACGCAAAAGCAACATGCAAAGGCGCAAAGCCAATGCCACAATCCATCACAATCCCACCCCCGGTGGACCTTCCGTTGGCCTGCCCCGGTCTGGAACCGGCCTGCACCATGCGCTCCGACTCGTTGTCCAAGGCGCTGGTGGCCTCGTCCAGGAGCAGCGCCTTCGGCTTGCGCGCCAGCGCGCGGGCGATGGCCACGCGCTGCCGCTGGCCGCCCGAGAGCATGCCACCTGCGTGTTCGCTCAGCGTCTCGATACCGAGGCGATCCAAACGTGTTCGTCCCTCGATACCGAGAGCAGGTCACCGGTGGTTCGGACCGACATGTGATCGGATCATATTTAGCTCCATGTGAGAAAGGTCAATGGGGTTCATCAACCGAACGGTGAGGGCAAACGAACTGTGAGGGTCCGCTGGGACGATTGATATGTCAGATATGTCGGATCTTGTGTTGCAAGACCCTGCTGAATCGGGATAAACTCTTTGGGTTACCTTGCTGTCCTTCCCCCTTGTACCCTTCACAACCCCCCTCCAAAGTTAGTATCCAGCTTCTTGGGACCTCCCTCCCGTGGGGTGAAAAACCTCGTCCACCGCCTCCAGCGCCGATGAAGGAGTCTAAGCCTTCGGGCAGCTGCGTCAAGGTGTCCAGAATCTGCGCCTGCCGCGCGGCCTCGATCGCCTCCTCATCACTGATGTCTTCACCCGCCTGGCGCCATTTCGTAGGCTGGGGCACAGCGCTTCGGCGCGTGTAAGGCTTTTCACTTTAGCCAACGCCCAGCAATTCGACCAAATCAACTAGCCCCTGGAGTCCATTGGACCCTGCAAATCCTGCAGACCCTATCCAAGTATTCCTTTGAAACTCGATCAGGGTGCAAAGCCCCTAGTCCCATGTCTTGCTCAAGGCCTGTAGGTTTCCCCCTCAGGCCTCTCGTGCCCTTCTCACAACCTCTACGGGCTCGGCTATGGTTGGGCACGCCACGCACATCAACATGCAACAGAGCTATGTCTACACCTACATCCTTGGCAGGCTAGCTGCTACAGCTTCTCCATCTGTTCGCCCACCCTAAAAAGTCCAAAGCCATGCAAAACTCTGTCTGCAACGTGGATTATGTAGCCACTAGCCGATTGGCCGCTAGCCTTGATGTTTTCCATCGCACTGGTGGCGAAGAGCACCGGATGTTGGCCCACGTAGCCCAGCATCCGTCGCCAGGACCGAACGGGCAGTCGCTGCAAGGGGGTGCCGTTAATCACGATCTCCCCAGACTTGGGATCATAGAAACCTGGAGAGCACGGCGGCAAAAAGGTGCAAAGCACGGGACAGAAGTACCGAGATGCTTTTTGGGGTGTCGGGGGCGCAAAAAAAACGTCAAGACTCTTCAAGATGGATCACGGGGCATGTGAACGTTTGCTCAATGCGGTGCTTAGGAGCGCAGAATGAGTTGGATCGTGGTGCTCTTCCCACAGCCACTTTCACCTGGAAAGGTGACAGGCATATGATGGCACATGTAAAGCACTTTTGGATCAACGCTTTTAAACTTTGGAGGCTATTTGTGCATAGCTGAGGGGTGGGGGTAGGACCTGCCGGGTAGGTGTGAGGGAGGCAAAGAAGTATTGAACCCATCTTATTCTGCTTTCACAGTTCGGGCCATATGGGCCACTCACAAGCGCAAAGGCTCCGCCTTCACGCTTTCCAACTGTTATTGGCACAGCTGTTGTCGTGGAACTATGCGCAAGTGAGTGAAGAGTTCCAATCCTCTGCCCATGTCATCCCTGTTCGAGACTCCGCACACTGCGCCTACAAAGGCCACTTTCTGACCTTTGGAGATGAAGAAGCTCAGCCTCGGGGGGCTCGGTGGATCTCGGTGGATGCGCAGGTGGCACAACGGGCCTGGAGACTGGAACCCTTGAGAAGATCTTCGGAAAGAGGGATCAAGCCAAAGCCAACCAGCTTCAATCCAGCCAGGCCACTTACTCAGCACCACCTTCTCTGGCTGCAGAGGATAGTTAAAGACCACCGATCTGAACTCAATGCTCTGCAAATCTGCCAAGCTGGGAGAGGCCTCTTCGTCCCAGAAGTGGTCTGGCTCGATGTCGCGATCCTTCCAGCGAATCATCTCCTTCAAAGACTTCGCGGAAGCCACGGCCTCAATTTTTAGGCGAGCACCATCCATCAGAGAAGACATTAGGAGACCGGTCGGCATTTGGAGAACCAAGGCATGATCTGCTCTGGTACCCATAGGAGGCCTCGGTATTCTTCAGACTCGGCTTCTCTCCCTCCTTCAGATCCTTATCTCCTCCATCGCTATCAGGTTGGAGGCCATCGCCACTATATATACAAATGTATATGCAATTATAGAGAGAGAGAGTTATATATATATATATTCCCTTGCAAATCTTAGGCCCTGGGTCACTCTCTGACTGCCCTGCAGCTCTGCCCTGACTCGCGCCTTGAACAATCCAGGTGCATAGCCACTAAAGGTAGAGATACCCGTCATCCCGGTGATCAGCGCGATCAGCACAACGATGACGTCGCCACCATTCACCTGCGCGTCCTGGTGGTCTTTCATCCTCCCCGCAATCAAGACATGCCCGCCAAACCAAAGGGTGACAGCATAGAGGACAGCGAAGGAGAAGTTCTGCAAACCCCAGAAGATGCCGATCCTGGGCCGCAGCTCAGGATGTGCATGGTTGAGAACGTGTCAATATCATTCAGAAGGGGTCAGCTGAGAGAGAATTCTGCGCTTGACGAACACATTCCTGGCAACAATCCTCACATCACCTGCCAGGATAGGCACCTGAATCTTGAGCAGTCTTAACTGATGTTGATTAGATCATGGACACATCCAAGACATGTTTCGCCCTGGCACCACCTCCCCCCACCCACACTGCGACTGCCTCGCCGCGTTTGGGCCCCAGCCACCGGATCCCGGAGCGCACGCCGCCGCGCCGCGCGGTGTCCAGGTGCGCCCCGAAGCGTCGCTGCTGGAACTCCTCCGTGCCGAAGGCCGCCACGGTGCCTCGGGGGGCACGCGCGACCGGGCGACGCCCCAGGGGTGGCACTCGGACCCGCTCGCGGGGCCAGAAACCTCCGGAAGACCGAGGTTAAAGAAGCACGGAAGCCTCAAAGGTAGCGATCCGCTGATCCACTTCATGGGTTTCTGGTCCCAAACACGAGTCATCCCGTCCGAGTCCAAGGTCCGCATCAGCTGGGCCAGGTGGCGAACACCCATCAAAGACTCCTCCGCCACGGTGGAGGCCTTTGCAAAGTCTTTGGCCTGCTCGGTGGCCTGGAGTCGCAGTCTCGGCTTGCTCCGAGACTACTGTGGGGCGAGGGGTTTTTGGGGAGCGACACGGGACTGCAGTAGATCCGTAGTGGGAAGAACGGGGGACCGAAGGGGGAGACGAAATCTCCTGGGCGCAGCTTATGAAAACCCAAATTCAGCACGCGAATCACGGCGAGTCTGAGGAATGTTCAAGCACCATGGATGTTGCAGGTCCTGGCAGAAGTGTGGGGAAGACACGTCAGCTGTGGTTTGAAGTGGTTCATTGCTTGCTTTTCGCACTTCTTTTGCAACGCCCCGGGATTGAGAACCCTCAAGCCGTGCAGAACAACCCGTGGCCCCTTTGAGCCCGTGGCGCCTGTCGCTCCAGCTGCTTCGCAAAGCCATGCCCTGTGCAGATCAGGAAGGGCAAGGTGGCACAAACCTCGGTTTGGATCCCAGAGGCGAAACGTCGAACGCGGAAAAGATGCTGCAGAAATCAGTTGAACCGATTTTGATGATCTCACTTGTGAATCACCTACCTTCAAGGAACATCTTCAACAGCCTCCAAGGTTGCTAGCGCAAAGTCGAATGACACAACTCTGTCGCAGCCCCATGATGGGTCAGCGTTAAGTTCGGAAACTGAAACGTGGGGTTTAGAAACTGGGCAAAGTTGTGTTCGAAAACTGGACACATCGGGTTCGGAAACTCAAACATTAACTAGCAACGTGCTCTTCATACCATGTTAAGCGTACCTTCATGATGTCCTAAATGCGAGCTGGTGGCGATGAGGGTGAGCTGCCAGCCATGCAGAAAGGCCACCACCAGCCCAGAGACAAACTGCCCCAAGCTGGCAATTAGAAATCCCAGCCCTGCAGACATGAAGATCTGGACCATGGCTATATCCATCTCCTGGGTGAAAATCCGCACCCGGATGTTTTCGGCCAAGCCAGGGAGGTCCACTTCCTCTGAACATGTTCGCCACAAAACGGGCCTGGTGTCAGAGGACTGTTGCATCCGAAAACACGTCTATCACCGGGATCCTCGACGCTTCGAGGAGACAGCTGGGTTGTGCTATCAAAAGAGTTCAAAAGTTGAATCTCGCACGAGGTGAGCATCTTGTTTCGGCTCATCTCCCATGTGGGCACAGAAAGGGAAAACTTTTTGGAGGGGGCCCGCGGATGATCTGTAACCACCCATCCCACGGGTGGAATTGCGGAGCATGGGCCAACCATCAGCCAAGACGCTAGTTTCGCTGCAAGTCCGGCCGGCTGATGGGTGTCAAACCAGGTGATATCCTGGGATGAAAAGATTGTCGGGCAGTGCATTCAACTCCTGCTTTGGGGATAGCCAAAACCTCTGTCAGTCTGAATTGGGGTGAGGACACAGCTCAGGAGGGAGAAACTTCATGCCAAACTCAACCCCACAACCCTACTGGGCCCTACTGTTTCTGTCCAGGTCTCCAAGGACAAGACGGATTTCAAGAAGAGAAGTTGCCAGCGGAGCGCTTGGTTCGAGGAGGCCCACATGAGGCAGGTTTGCCAGGCCCAGGCGGTCAAGAACTGTGCCAGGGCCTCGGTCTCAGCAAACATCGGCCCAGCATGGGGATGTTTCTAAATCGGGATCCCCTCTTCCAGGCTTCATCGTCTGGTGCAGCAACTGGGAACACGTGACACACAAGACTTGGAGGCGATCAAGCGACCAAGGCGGCGATCGCCAAGAGCACCCCGCGAATGTTCTCCAAGATCATGCCTCACGCTGAATTGAACAACTGGGCGGTTTTGGTCAAAAATGGACATCGCCTGCGTGGAGTTGGGCCTCACCAACCACTCGGCATCATTCTGATGAACATCCCAATGCATGGAGGGATGACCAAGAGAGACCGCCCTTCTTTTCTGCTTCTCGCCTGCGCTGCTGGTGGTGAGGATGTTTATCGCCTGCCCGATCCACATGGCAATCAAGGGGGGCAGAAGCGCCCTGTAGCAGCGCCAGGAAGCCACCCACAAAAAGGCAAATCTTCTCTAGCCAACTGGTCTGGGACAAGACCTCAAAGGCAGCCTCCTCCTGCCCATGGCCCACTTGTGCTTAAAAAGCGAGGGCATGCCGGGACATTGTTCTTCAAAGAGGTGGTGAGGATGAGTGTGACTACGTGCATGATGCGCACATGCTCTAAGAAAATATGAACGAACAAACCAGCAAACAAACAAACCCAACCCAACGCAGCCCAACCCAATCAAGGGACCGAACCAAACCAAACCAAACCAACAAAACAAAGTTGATATATAAAACCACTATGTGAAAGGCCCACATGCAGCGCACTTCAACTTTCCACTCTCCTCATCTTCATGCTCGTCCTTAGCTCTCACTTGTCAAGGCAAGCAAGGGGTAACAAGGTGAGCTTTCTAAGACGGTGCTGGAGGTCCTACTTGGCTTCATCCCGGCAAAAGCCGGACCTACACCCGAACTCACGCCAGGCCACTGCAGAGGTGTCGCTGACACTCTCGTAGTCTCCATTCTCCGACATCGGGGGCCGCCGCCCGGCCCGGGCGCGCCCGCCGGTGGACCGAGATCTGTCAGGCCAATTCCAGAGGCATGCGAGAAGTTCTGAGATCAATGCGGAAGCTTGTTGCACTACCCACGGATGTCCAAGGATCAAAAAGAAAAACATCAAGGCAGTCAGGTCAAACAAGGTAAAAGCTGACGTCTGACAAACGTTCATCAGCGAATGAAAGGGAGTCACACCCCTGTTGGACCATGTGAGTTGACCATTGTGATCTCCATCCAGCTGCCCCAGGGGGGTCAACCTGCAACGTCTCAAAACAAGTCGATTCTTCTCACCTGAAGCTTTAAGCACTACCGTAGATATGTCAGGGGACGCTGAGCTGCTGAACCAAAGAAATTCTAGGCCATCCCCCCAAAACAAAGACGGAAGTTGGACAGGACAGGGCAGGGCCGAGCTGCAGGATGTGCCCAACATACTCCCTGTCCAAGAGCCCCACATGCACCTGCCTGCGGCCTTTCGAGCATCCTCTACACTCTGTGGGGGTGCCATCATAGCGGCCTCTCGGGCCGAAGATCTCGCAGATCTGTGGCAGGAGAGTCATTCTGACAGTTTCAGGAGTTCGGTCGAGAACTTGGGGCAACACCTGCTTCACCTCCAGCTTCAGAGCCCATTCGACGCATCCGTCTTCACGAAAACAGACCAAGAGAAGCGACGGCCCCGCGGACCGGGCCGCCGGGCCGCGGTTTCGGCGGACCGCCGATTGATGGCCTGAGCTTTCCCATCGATCGAAGGCTGCATAACACTCCAGGAGTGGCGGAAAGGGGGTCCCATATGCTTCATTCTGCTTCCATAGGTTGAGAAGGCATGGATGATCATGCATGGAGAAAGAGACCAAAAAAGGTGGGTGAACGTGAGTGGTGAGAGTGTGGATCGGAGCTTGCCGTGAGAGGTTTCAGATATATGAAACACCGCCCAGCAACATGCCTGAATTCCAATTCCTGGATCCAAAATCCAGATTCCTAGGTGTCCTGCATCCAGATTCATCAATCCCATTGCTGGTTCCCAATGTCTGAAATGGCTCTGGGTGCACCACTGGCGCACCTGAAAGAACCCCACGTTTGGTTCCACCTTCCGACCCTAGCATTACAGTAGCCCCAGCCAAGGTGATCCTACCAACAGCTTCGTTCGTGAACCACACGAATTCATGAACTTCCAGACACATGGTATTGGAGGAATGGTCCTGGTACTCAACCGATGGTTCTGGCTCTTCTTGATTCTTCAAGCTTCATGCATTTGCCTACATTGACCCCTGAAATCTACGATATACGTACAGTATATGTATATGTAGTATTGTGCGCCATGCGTGGAGTATCTAGTTTGGGGGGAAGGGGTTGTCCTTAGAAATTCCCCAAAAGCTTCCTCGACATCTGCTCCCGTGATCCGTTCTTTCTGCCGCGACGAGCTGACACTGGATAGAATCATTCATGACACCGGATTTCGTGGATCTTCATTGCACTTCCCTTTCTCCTTTCTTGCCTTGTGACCACCTAACTCACGGCTCCACGGTCCCAAGCCACCTGATCAAGGCCTCCTGAAGATCCCTCAAAGAAGAGCTTGCGATGTCAACGTGAACCGGGCACTTCGGTGGGGTCGCCCGAATTATGATTATGCACTTGCCGTGCTTCGGTGGGATGAATTCTGACGCCCTCCTTCTCGGTGCAGAATGGTACGTCGTAACAAGTCTGTGACCAAGTCCGCTGGGTCAGCGGGGGCCACGAAACGCAAGCTGGCAAAGCTGGATGAGTTGGGGTCCTTCACCGAGATCGAGTGGGCGATCCCCGCGCCTCTTTTTCAGCGCAAGTTCGTGCTGAAAGCCCCTCAAGGGCAGCTTCAAGACTTGCACTGAGCCCTCATGAGGTGGCACCTGTGTGGTGCAAAAGACCTGACCGGAAGGCTTCCGCTTTCACTCCGTTCCACGTCCGCAAACGGACGGGCCCCAAAAGGCCTGGCAACCGCTGTACTCAAGGGGGCTGCATCTGGACATTCTTGTGGCTACACTGGCAGCACCTGGACAGGCTATGTTCATCTATGTTCCACTTCCAGGGCCTCCATTGATGAGATGTGTTCTTTCAAGTCCGAGTGTTTTTTAGCTCCAGAATGGAAGGGAAAACGACTTGTGGAACGTGGAGCAGACCTTTCCAGAACCGACTCCCAACTGATTTCTCAGAGCTCCACACCCCAAAAAGACATTGAACGACATTGTCGCAGCATCCCCCCAACGAGGCCTGAACATGGAGCACACAGCTGAGCACACGGGCGTCGTCGGCACCCAAAGTCTCAACATGTCCCTAGAGATACCACACAGGAGATAGACATCACATCAGGAGTGTATGACCACCTTTCACCACCTACATGTGTGACCACTCCCTACACTTCACATGTGTGACCACCTTTCACCTCTCCACGTGGGGAAATAGACAACCAAGGGTGTTTCCTCGGCCTGTTTTGGTCCTCACCAAGGGTCATGTCCCTCTATTGACACTGCTTCACCAGTTCAACCCTTGTGCTCTATCCTTTTCGGGACAGGAACCTCCAGGTCGTGTTGGTGGGCCCCTATGGTTGATTTTTGGAGAAGCAAATTTGAACCTGCTGGTCAGAATTTAGCAAATAAAGCATGCAATGGCACCGTCAATGTGAATGACTGTCCAGCCTTCCAACATCTGAAACTGCACTTGAAGAGCTCACTCTGTATGAAGCACAGCCCTGCCAAAATAAGAACAAAACATGGCATCAGGTCGTTGATACGTGCGAAAACTGTTCTGAAAAAGGCAAAGCTCTCCAAAATGTGGTCTGGCAAGCTCAAAGAGGGGTCAGAAACAGAAGCCACCTTTTGGATTGTGAGCTGCCTAAGAAGCAAAAACTCTAAAGTTGAGAAACATATTGTTAAAGACAAGATGCACCACAAAAATACAACAGCAATACAAATAAAAATACAAAAAATGAGAAAAAAGGACTGAAAATAGGACAGTCACACAAGAAACACAAGCGGACTGGACAGTCTGCGATAGAAACCAGCACTTCCAGAGGAAAAAAAGGGAACACGGCTTTGTCAAAGAGGCACTGCAACAGGTGACCGCTCACTGATTGAAACCCAAGCAGGGGCTGCATGTGGCATAGACAAAGGCGAGCACAACAAAGCAAAGATCACGCAAGAGGCACATTAAGATAGACCAGGATATTGAGTACAGTATAAGTCCTAGTCATGATAAAAGGTGAGTGTTGACTCCGATGCCGCGGGCAGAGGCATTGAATTCAAATGTGCAAGGCTTACGGCCGTGGCCAGTGGCCCCTTCCATACAGATCCAGAAGCTCCGGCTAACATGGTTGAGAACAAAGGGGGCTGAGTGTTCATGCGTAAGCCTGGTTGCTGTCAGGGGCGGGCCACTGGTCCTGAAATTTCTAAAAACTTTTTCGACAGAGCGGGGGGGCAACCACTGTGTGAAGCAGTTGCCTTTGTGCATGTCCCCCAGTCCGGCCTTTTTGCGGAAGGATCCGGTCGACGCCTGCAGCAGCTCACCAAGGGCTGTTCGCTTCTGCGGCTTGAGAGATCGAACGTCCCTCAACGGTGCATTGGGAAGATCTCTTCCATTCACATCGATTCACCAAATAGATTGGGAGGATAGGGCCTGGTAGGGTAGGGCCTGGATTCGCTCGATTTCTGAGCCAGGGCGACCAAGAAAGGATCAACTCACTGCGGGAGAGAATCCTGCGGCTCGATGGCGTGTGTGGGTGAAGCTCAAAACAGGCCTACCCCCTTAGTAATGGTCAATCGCGTTCTGGAGGAAAGGCTACGCGACTTGTTATACGCGGGTTATCTCATACCTTCTCGAGACTGTTTCCTCTGAAGGAACCGTTCTGTCCCATGTCTAGATCATAATATGCACACACAAATAATACATATATATATATAATATATACATTTATATATATATATATCTGTGTGTGTGCGCTCGCGTTGCCCAATCATGGGAATTCGTATGCCTGATCACTGCACGTTCATCTCCCATTGGAATGCTGGATCAACTGATCAAAGCCACAGGCCCAAATGAGGTCCAAATCAAGCGAGTTGGCGACCCAAATCACATCCAACTCCGTGCTCATCATGGACATCCAACTCCAGCTTAAAAGTCTCGCCGATTTGTCCTCGTCCTCAGGTCCCCAGTTGGTGTTGAGATCCTGTATAATTGACAGTGTGATTCATCCTCTTTCCAAGTCGGACCGGAGCCCTTCGAGTCCCACTCCCAGCGGAGTCCTGCGAGTCCTTCGCGCACGGGCGCACGGTGTCGTTCCCCTTCAGTTCGGTGTCATTCCCGATGTATGCAGGTCGGCCGATGCAGGTGGCACACTCGGAGTAGATGGACATGAATTCCACCTGAGCGGACGCCATCCGTTCGTCGTCTAGATGGAACACTGCGAAGTGACACAGGCGAGCCGCTGATCGTTCTTGGGGTCCAAGGATTTGGTCGTGGCCCATGAGCCATGGCGGAGGACTATGAGCCCTCTACAGCCGTACAGGTGTGAGCCCTCAGGTTGAAATCACGTCAACAGTTGCCAGAACAGCCAGAACCCCTTCAACAAGGTCTCCAAAGAAAACCATTGGGCCCCCTTCCAACCAAGATAAATTGGCGGCCTCTGCCACTGCCCGAACGCCCAAATAGTGAGAATCCTGATAAGAAGAGTCGAACGAGCCTGCAGAGGGTCATGATGTATATTTAGGCACTCTCATGTCTCATGAGTGTCAATCCCAAGTGGTCTTTGGCGTATTGGGTTTACAATCCAAACCCACCAGCAAATCTCCTAACTCATCACCTGTCGTCCAAGCCGCCACTGGCCGTCGATTCGCTGGCCCGTGGGGTCGTTGCGCCAGGCGTTTGAAGTTGGGGGGCTCCAGACCTTGGTCGTTGAGCCGCAGGCTCCCAAAACGCTATATAGGAGGATCCTGGTTTGGAAGGAATGCACCAATAGAGAGGCAGAGAGACAGAGAGACAGACAGAGAGACAGAGACAGAGACAGAGAGAGAGAGAGAGACAAAGAGAGCGCCCACATCTCGAAAACAATGCCACAACTGGCCCTCATAAAGGACGATGCGAGGGATCACATGTCACCCTCAAAACCAGGAGATCTCATCACTAATCTGACGAGGAAAGAGGTGGGGGCCACATTCTGGAATAGACTGACTGGACATGCCAGAATTTGTTGAGAGGGTTCACAACTGGTCTTCGAACGGCTGATAGAAGGAAGGTCACCACGAACCTCAAAATAGTTTCTTGGCGATTGGTGTTGCGAGTGCCCTACAACAGTGCCGCCATACCCCTAAGGATAAATGTATAATGTATAATTGTATATGTATATATATATATAACTATATATACACATGTGTACACATGATGCTTTGACGTGTCAACTTTCCGCGCTCGATGTTCGCACTTGATTTTGTGAACTGGCATTAAAACGTTCGTCTGACCAGGCCTTCCAGGTTATCAGGCCGTTTCACCCCATTCAGGCGACATCGGGCGCACGACGGGCTCCGACAAAAAACCTCAACGGCTGCAACGATTGGAGTTGACCTGGAGTCGCTTTCCAAGTTGAGTCCAAGAACCCAGGGCGGCAATCGTCGTGGCCGAAGTACACACTCCTTGGGCGAGAAAGGCTCGCGCTAGCGCTCGTGTACCAAAGAAGGAAATCCAGAAATGACGAGTTTTCGGCCCAACCCCATTGGAGTCCACCGAAGCAGAAATTTGGATGGTGGCTGAAGAATCCTAACTGTGTCCCACTCAAGATCCATGGGTCTCGGTGGGCCTGGTTGCACTGAACGTGTGGTCTCGTTCCAACCAGCCCTCCCCCAGCAAAGACTGGAATCGCTGAAGCCAAAAAGGGTCTACGTGTGGTGTTCGAGTTCAGTGAAGCCGGAGCTTGCTCTGGGTTGGAAGTCAGGTGGGCACCAAAGGGGTGAGGATCCTGAGAAATTTGTCTCAGCAAAACATCATGGAATCCCACAACGAAAACTCGGAAAATTGCATTGCAAACAAGAACTGGGGTGACATCTCAATCTTGGCCCTCCCATCATCTGAGTGCCGGTTTCTTCGACGCAGTTTCGTCGATTCTAAGCCGGCTGACAAAGCCGTGGATAAAACCGCTACTATCCCCTTCAGTGCCTCTGAGAAAAAAAAGGTTAATAGTCTTTAAGCCGTTCGGCTTTTGGTAGGGAATGCCAATCCCCAAACTAATAGCAATTTGATGGGGTAGGTGATTCAACCTGTCGGCCAACCATGAATCATTGAAAGCAAAACGCTCGGGCCGAGCAGCTGTCAGACATGGCGGAGATCTGAATGGCGTGAAGGAAAGGGACCCGCTCCAGAAGGACTCCCCGAGCACTAAGATGGCCGCAGAGGAGATGGCGCCGAGACGCGTCTCCGTGGCAAAAACTCGTGCCGGCAGCAAAAACCATCGGATATCGGTATCATCAAAGCAAATCGATCCTTGAGAGTTACACCTAGTGGAGCAGTACATGCTGACAAGAAACGAATATTTTTAAAAATGCCTACTGCCCTACTGCGGCTAAAAAGCAGCTGCTATACAATCATAGGTCAATGGACGGTTGATGTTAATTGAGGAGCCAACTACTACCAATAGGGACAAAGGCAAAACCAGGAGCAACGTTTGACACTTTTAAGGTACATACCACATTACACCATCGAAGCCCAGAGAGCCCCAGAGAGCCCATCCTCCCGAGTCAACTCGGTTTCCCCGGCGGCGTCCCGAATTTGCACCACCAGCTGCGAGCCGTAGCTGGGCCCTGCCGCTTCGGTGCGGTGTGGGTGTGGTGAGAGGCTGTTAGGCCCCGGACATGGCCAGGACGAGATGGTCCATGGATGTCGCCACTAACTCGTTCTTTGGCGCCAAAACGATGGAGGAAAGTGCCAAAACGACACAAAGCATGAACCCGATGAAGACAATTCGATGAAGGCACCGGTCCATCGGTCCTTCCTCGCCCTCAAAGAGCTGGCAACTGCGTCGCACGATACGGCCCTCGGGGTCAGGCACAGCTTCAAAGCTCGGCACCAAAGCAGCAAACACTCTGAAATAAAGTGGGGAACCTTTGAAAGTAGTGGAACAACCTCTCCGAAGAGACCCTGAGTTTGGATGAGTCTCCCTTTTGGCCATCGTTCACCCACACAATCCAACGCCGCTCGCTGCACCCTGCATCCAAGCTGCACCCGTATGGCCGTTGTAGGCCGGTAGTAGCCAAAGGGCCGGATAGATTGAGTCCTCCGGGTGCGTTCCAATCTCAACGGAGTTGAACCTCTGACCTGAAGGGGCCGAGCCTGGGGCCTGGGATGCAGAGAGGGGTGTTCAAAGCCCTTAATTGATGCCTGAAAGCACCTGCCTTGGTACGTTTGAAGGTTAGCCAAGACGAATCAATAAAGCTGTAGGTTGGCACTTGCTGACGAAGTCTGCTGAGCTCTCACTGGTCTCTCCAGTCCTGAGCAGCTGCACTGCAATCCTGAGCGCAGTGGTGGAGCGACGCAAATCGCTCGACTTAGAGCTTGAAGCCCCTTGGTTCGAGGAGGGTAGGGGAAAAAAACATATGTTCTATTATAAAGGGTGAACCCACCATTCCATGTAAAGGGTGATGACATCTTTAGTAAATTCAAAGGGTTGAAAAATAACAAAAAACCTGGAGGTTTGTTGAACTGCTCAGGGACTAGAGACTATACGTCCTGTAGTCTCCAGTGGAGATCTGTTCTCACACCCTGGCTGCTTGAGTCCTTCCACCTTGGCGTCTGCACCCACTGAGACGACCCCACCAAGTCCACCTCTCGCGCACCACCGGCTCTTTGGCCGCCCAGGCTGTAGGGATCGTTCTGCACCTTGGGTGAAGGGGGAAACAAATGGACACAGCGTCTAGTCCAGTCTAGGTTGCTGTGCCAACGACTCCTTGAGATCACCAGCAGGGTCCAAAACATTTTTAACAAAAGCCTCTCGCTTTTTGGCTGGGATTCGGATGCGACTCGATTCCCACATTTTCCACAGCTGGGCCGCCCGAAGTCTCTCCTCCGTCATTCCCTGCGTCGTTCGCTCGACTGGGGGAGTCACCACGAAGCGACTGACGACCAGCAGAAGCAGCTTCTAAAACCGCTCGTCTTCACAAATTCGTCAACAAACTTGAATGAGAGAATGACACAAAGGAGGCAAACAAGCGAGTGTCCACATGACTGTTTCCTCTTGCGCAGGTTCACCGCCCATGGGCTTTGGATGACTTAAAACTTGCACTGGGGGTCGTTTGCGGCAGCTGAAAGCGCTGCGAATTCGTCAACACACCTCCATGTTGGTGGCTCCAGAGAGGAAGGTTCCTCCAGTGGTGCCTCCATACCTGCCGCTCCCATGCTTACCATCAGCTAACATCAGGTCAGGCTTAGGTTGCACGAGAAGAAGTACTCCCGAAATTGTTTCAGCCTTAGGACCAATACAGAAGTGATCAGTCAGCACCCCAAGATATCTCAACAAGCATTGAAGCCGACGCCTTCCTGATTCCAACACTGAGACGGAGAAGCCATTGACTCTTTGGGGTCTTGGCGGGCCCAGGTGCTTGGCCAACAAGTAGCAGTTGACGTCATCGATGGCACAGACCTGGCTAAAGTTTCCGTCCGCTGCTCCCAACGACGCCTCCGGTGACTCCCTTCGGCGACGCATCGTGGGCCAAGCATGCTGGTCGGAAAGACCACGTTTGCAGCCCTCAATATGTACAGTAGATGGCTGCCAGAGCCTGCGCACAAGCATTCACCAGCAGAAGGCCCTTCTGCTTGGCTTCTTCATGGTAGCCTCAGACAAACATGCCCACCAACATCGCCAGGCAATCCCAATCTGTGAGGGTGGCTAGAAGCTGGCAAACGACCAAAAGGAAAGCTCAAGCGGCTGGGCATTCCTGAGCTGTTAATTACCAACATTATATAATCAAGCAACCACCACATTTTCTTGCGATCTACCCCACTTTGCCATCAATGAGGTCCTTTGTCTTTCCCTGTCTGGTGGTGACCAACATCCCGATGAAGCCCCTCATCTGGCGTCACACCGGAGGCCCCCCTGGCGTCGGAGCATCTCGTGCATCCACACCGTCTCTCCGGCCACATCCACCTCGGAGCTTCCGCACCCGGCGAACGTGCCATCCCTTTTGGGGGTTTAGAGGTTTAGGAGTGGATATATACAATTATCAAAGGAAGTTTAGTGTGCAAAACTTCCGTGTTACGGACATTCAACAGCTGTTCAACCACCACTCATCATACACCACTCATCATACACCACTCATCATAAACCACTCATCATACACCACTCATCGTACACCACTCATCATACACCACTCATCATACACTACTCATCATACACCACTCGTCATACACCACTCATCATACACCACTCATCATACACCACTCATCATA